TCAACGCTTGGTAGTCTGGTGCCCTGCTGTTGCCTCTTTACAATCCCATTGTGAGACTTGTCTTGCCCCTCATTTAGGAACACTGAGGCAAAGAACTCATTGAGGAGTTCAGCCTTGTACCCCCTGTCTGTCACCAATTGCTTCTGCCCATTCAGTAGTGGTCCTATACTGCCCTGGGCCTGCCTTTTACTCCCTATATAGCTGAAAAACAATTTTTTGTTATCCTTAACTTGGAATGCCATCCTCAGCTCCATGGTAGCTTTGGCCTTTGCCTCCCTACAACTGCGAGCTGAGGAGGTATACTCCTCTTTAGTAATCTCTCCCTGTTTCCACTGCTTATATGCCCCCCTTTTTGCCCTTAGGCTGCTCTGGATTTCTCTGGTCAGCCAAGGAAGCCTCTTGGCCCCTTTGCCCCTTATCAGGATCATCTCCCTCTGTGTCCAAAGGATCACTTCCTTAAGGCACAGCCACCCTTCCTGGACTCCCATCTCACCAAATCTCTTACCCTGAAGTGCATCATTGACCAAACGCTTGAGCTTGCTGAAGTCAGCCTTCCTAAAGTCTAGCACTTCCACCCTACTAGTTACCTTTCCCACTCTGCGCCTTATGGCGAATTCTATTATTTGGTGGTCACTGTCCCCAGGTGACCACTGCCAATACCAGGTCCAGTAAGGCATTCCCCCTAGTGGGACCATGTACTTCCTGCATCAGGTGGAGTGGCCTTCAACTTCAAAATGAAATATCCTTAGTAGGATTGGTCCTCAAAACCAAATCCCATTTCCCTCTTGGAGGTCCCCCAATGTGCACTGGAGATAAACCCTCAAGAGTCTAAATGTAAAGTTAGGTTTGAGTGTCTTGTCTCTCAGGGATGTTTCTAGCTTCTCATTTGTGTTTTTGAGAATGCCAACTTGAAAGGCTGCCTTCCCAGGCCTTGTCTGGAGCTCAGCTGTAGAACTAGCTCCATTCCCAGACCATATTCCTTCCCTGCTCAGGATTCTCCACTTGTTGAGCTTGTCTAGCCCCGTTTTGAAGAACACGTACCTGTCTCTTGTGCAGGTGTTCACTGGTAACCAAATTACCCAGCCATGCCTCCAGGTGTACCTGTGAGGCTTATTTGAGGTCTGAGGCTGCCATTAACTCTTTTTCTGACACATTTTGGATTATATATTCCAGCATTTGCATTCTTATTTCCTCCATAAAAAATGCTTTCTAAAGTTTCTAGCATCTTTGTCCTTTGTCCTCCTCCCAGTTTGTTTTATGCACAATGGAGAATCTGTAGCTGTGTGTATTCAGCGCAACTTCACCATAGTGAGATTGTCTGTCATATCATATAAAATAATTTTTTACGCATTCCTTGATATAAGTCAAGTCTTATTAGCATTCTCTAATATTGCATTTCATTTTGATGTTTATGCCTATAACTTCCCATTGACCTGAACTATATTTTAATTGATTATGGTTTCATCCAGTCCAGAGAAGTCTCAAGGTCTAGTAGTATTCTGTTTTCTACTGCGTTCTCAAGTACTCCTCTTCTTAGGCAGGGTGCATGTTTTGCTGTTCTGCTATTCTTATTCTCTTGTATTGTTTATCCCAACTTTTTTTAAAATTCTAATTAGCAATCTCTCATTAAAAAAATCTGTTAGCTTTTGTTATCTGTATACTTTACATATAATATGCCTCTCCCTCTGAGACGGAGGAAATGAACTAACTTGTTTTCCTTCTGTGTTCCTACAGTGCTGATATCATGTCTGAATGCATATAAGACCTGTCTAGCCATTCTATGGGATGCTTCTTTTGCTTCCCTCTCTTCCTCATTGACTCTCAATATCTCTTAACCCTTCTCTGGCTTATCTACCTTAGAGAACATGGTTCCTTTGTCCCCTAGGAGCTATATCTCCTAAGAGGCTTAGTAGACCTTTTGTTACCTCCCTTTTCGTAAAATTAGTGATTCTACCTACATTTAATTGGCCCTGGGATGTAGCTCTTTAGATTACATGACAACTTTGATATAAAACTGAGAAGATGGGCTACTAGACCTGCTTGGGTCCTGTTTAGATAGGGGAGTCTATGAAGTAATGAGAGTAAGGGGTACTGGTGTTTTGGTGATGGGCCACTTTCATCATCATCTCTGCTTAATTTGATTCTGAATCTTTATGAAACATCAAGTTCAGTAGCAAAACCTCACTATTTCTAGTCAATTTTCAGTCCAGTTCTCTAACCAGGACTCCCAAAACCTGGAGGAAAATTTAGAGGTATGAATTCATTGCATCACCAAGCCTGTGATTTTAATAAATTAAGTCATTGGATTCATCATGCATCCTAAGCTCTTGGGAACTATACCTGTTACTTGTAGGTCATGAAATTACATTTTTCTAAGAACTTTCCATGTTTTTCCTAGTAGCTTTCCGTTTTAGTACCAATATTTTCAACAAACTATACGGAAAAAAGTCCCTTACCTTTCGGGTACTTTAAAAGTGACTACAATACCATCATACAAACATTAAAGAGCAAATTGCAGGGTTTGGCAACATTCCATTAGTATGTGTAGTTGCTGTGATCATTTTGGATTCACTTCTGAAATGCAGCAGGTAAAGTGGTTCCTAGTGCTTTAAAAGGCTCATTTTAAGGCAGGTTTGCTTAAATATATCTTGGTCCAGTTGAAAACTCAGCTTTAAAATGGCTGTCTTCAATGTGGGTGTGTTCTTGCAGATACCTTTTTCAGTTCAGTAAATTGTAAAATAGACTTACCCAGCACCCCAAAACAAAATTCAATAGGAACTATGGTGGCAGTCTTCAAGGCAACAGCCTTTTTTTGAAAATCTAGTGTGTTTTCTAAGCTGAATGAAGGTAGATTGTCTGTTTTCTTCCTTTTACATCTAGGTACATTGAAATATTTCCCAGCAACAGGAGTGAAATTCAAACCCATAGTGGCTCTCCCTGGAGGAAGAAGATGACCTCTTATCCAGTCACTAAATGGACAAAAGAATCTGAACTGGTCTTTGAAGAAAATGAATTGGGGAAGACTCAAAGACCACACACAACCTCTGAAAGTGAGAGAGAGAATGGTTAGTTCTCACCTTTTGTTCTTTGAAATGCTGTTGCTTCCTCTCATGTGCTTGCCTGCACACAGGTAACTGTTTTTGTTTGCTTCTGCAGAACCTTACAGAGGAGTAAGTGAAAAGCCTGAGGATGCTTTGGAAAGTGGGAATTCCTATTCATCACTGCATTATGTTCATCTGAGAGGCCTGCCATTCGAGGCTAGTGCCCAAGACATTATAAACGTATGTAGCCATAAGATTGTGTGGCTTTATGGAGAATTGCTAAACCACTGTTCTAAATACTCCAGCCTTTAGAACACAGTGTCATTTCTAAGGTTATGCATAGGTGTTACCTTTGTGCTGGGAAAAAAGCCTTTCTCCCGGTACAAGAAAGTAGCGACAGTCAGTCAAGGGTTTTTATTCGTGTTGGAGAAGTGGCTTCTCTGCGCAAAAAAAAAAAAAAAAAAAGGCAAGCACTTTCAGCCAGGCAGATCTCGCCTCTTACATTAGCTTGAATATCTGTATGCTTCTCTCAGTACTGGAATGCACTTAGTATCCCATTGTCTTCCACTCTCCCTCCCTTCCCCCACCCCAAGGGAGATGGAGGTAGAGCCACTGGCTCCCTGCTAGCCTTCTCAATGGCAAGCTGTCAGGGAGTCCTGCGAGGAGCCTGCTGCTGCTTGAATACTGGGAGAGTCTCCAGACTGTTCAGGTAACAGTGCTAATGCCCCCCAGCACTGAACAGAGCTGGCTCTATACCAGGGGTTTCCTTAAGATAGGTGAAGCCATAGGGGAATGCTCCCATCCTGCTAATTAGATAATTGGGGTGCAGGTATCTTTCCATGGTTTGAACGGAGTTCCAGGTAGTTCCAGCAATGGGCACATCTGCTTCCTGCTCTCTGCACAGTTCTGGATCACCCTCTGGGTCCTGCCAGTCAGCTCACTTCTCGCTAACAAATGTTTAGGTTAGAAGTAACTTAATACAAACCCAAGACCCTGGGCTTGGTCAAGCTGCTTTGGGACCCTCATTGGTTCCAGACCAGCAACTGGGGCTATCAGATATAGGCAGGATGGAAGTGATCATAGTCCCAGGGCAGCAGGTGGGACAGTGAGCGCAACTGTGACTTGCCTGCATGGAGGGCAGGGAACATGCCCCTGCCCAGAACTAGGTGCTGCTTTTCCTCTCAGCTGCCTTCAGCTGATGTCCATGTAACATCACCTGGAGACAGCTTGTCTGCCATGGCAGTGAGAGGGAGCAAAGGAGCAGTTCTGCATTGCCCCCTGGCTGGAGAGCTTGTCTTTGAGGTGACTTTGCTCTCTAGCCAGGGGACTGGACTGCCTGTATGCATCCATTCTCACAACATTTTTCAGCGCTGGAATAAAATGCTAGTCTGTGCCTTAAGTGGGTGGTACCTGAAAACAGTTCTGTGAGGTTGGAAAATCAAGAAATGGGTGGGTTTTGAACCTGTGAGCGGGAATCAAGCCCAGGTTGGAGGAAGATGAGTGGAACAGATTCACTAGCTAATGAAATCCCTATACCTTAAGTAGAATGTCATGTTTATTGGTGTGTGTTTGTTTTTCTGTTTCGTTTTCCTTTGGGTAAAGACGTGTTGTGTACCATGAACATCTTTAATGTGTTCTTTTTTGGATAAGAAAGTCTCAGTCTTAAATTTCTCTGGCACCCTGTGTTACGAGTAATTTGACCTGTGGTAAACTGGGGGGTGTGCCATGTTCCAGGCATATGCATATTATATAAATGTTTAATTTGCTTAACAGCGTAACACATCAGTCCCCATCACCTATTGCTTACATAATAACAAACATTTCTTATCTCATTACCAGTTACATGCATAAGCTATTAAGTGCGTAGCATCTTTCAGACCTATTGTCTTTAACTTAACTGTAATCCATTTAACTGTATACTAATGGGCACCAGGAACTATGAAGGAAAAGTAGCTGTTAAAAAGTCTTGAAAAAGGCAGGAGATCTCTGTTTCTTGGCTGCTCTCTCCTCATTTTTAAGGCTTTTATTAGTTATTGGTATCCTAAAAATTTAAGAGGCCTTGAAAGTGACAGAAGCTAGTTAATTTTGTAGCTTCCAGCACTGCTGGAAGTGCTGTGTGCTTAATGAGCATTTCTCACATTGAGTTTGGGTAAATGCATAGTCTTTTTCACACTTGAGGCTACTGATATAAATCCAGTAATTCTTCCATAGCTGAGATATGCTAATCCTGTATATTAAATTATTTGACAATTATTTTGGGGCAGAACCCAAAGGCTTGAGCAAGATTGGTGTGCTAAGATAGCAGACATTGTTCTGATGCTAAACAACTATCTGTTCTAAATTGTGGCTGGGTCCTGAGATGGTGCTAAGTTATTTCTGACATAGTAGTTCTCTTAGCAAGAGGTTAGTGGGTTGGGGAAGGTAAAGGTGGTTGGAATTCCAGAGGCAAAGAGGGGACTAGAGCAAAGTTTCAGTTGGGGAATGTGCACAGTTAGATAAAGAACAGATGTCAAGGATGACCTGGAGTGGGAAGGTTGGGTGGACTATCTTGTGTGCGTAGATATGTGTATTTTCTTAACGGAGAACTGTAAAAACAGCCTTTACAGTAGCAGGAAGCAAGCTGGCCTGAGGCTCAGTTTTCTTGTTTACCAAATCTTCTACAGAAGCTTCTGTGCAGATGACTCTTGTGAATGATGTGCACTGAAAGAAAGATGGAAAGAAAGCAAACTTTTGCAACTATTACCAGATCCGCTTGGTTTCAGAGTGTATCCAAAGCCTGTCAGTGTAAAGCTATAGCTACTGGATGTTTATGGTTTTCTGGAGAAGAACAACGTAGAATACAGTTTACTTAAATAGAGATGGGATGCATGGAATTCCAACTTTGAACTCTTTAGGGGCAACAGATAAACACGAGTGCTTTATTCCTTAAAGAACTTAAATCATAATGAAATGATCACCCATCTTTCTTTGTGTAGGCTGATTTAAGTTCCCATGTGAAATAGAATTAAGTGGTTTCAAATTTTGTTACTATCAAATAGTAACAAATACTATCAAATAGTACTTTCAAATGAGGTTTGAAAGAGTAAGCTTGAGAGTTAAAGGCCACTTTGTTCTTGCCACTGGTTCCTCTTGACTTCAAGACTTTTACCTGATCAGCATCAAACAGGCTATGTATTTGATCTTCTATTTGTGTTTTCATTCAGTTTCTTGCTCCTCTGAAACCTGTAAAGATTACCATGGAATATAATTCCAGCGGGAAGGCTACAGGAGAAGCAGATGTTCACTTTAAGAGCCATGACGATGCGGTTGCTGCTATGGTCAAGGACAGGTCACACATGCGTAAGTAGAGTTCATGCTTCTGTGCCTGTTGGATGTCACTGCTTTTTTTGTTTTAACCTTTCATCTCCAGTAATCTGGAACTACTTGTCTGGTGTTGGGCTGTTTACTGATACAGCATATTTCTTCCACTTCTAGAGGCTGAAATATTTTATCCTGCAGTGCTAAACTATATTTGGATAGGATGTTTTAGACAAGGGTGGTCTTGCCCTGAGCAGGAAGTTGGACTAGATCTCCTGAGGTCCCTTGCAGCCCTGTTTTTCTATGATTCTGTGCCTGGTTACATGCACTCTGTATAATCTATTTCACTCAAATTCAAGACGTCTCCTCCCCCACCAAATCAGCCTAGAGGAAAAATAGCTTTGTCTTGGATTCAAGAACCAGCCCAGGTCAAGCAGCAGCTGCCTGCCCCAGGCAGGAATAGCTTGTTTGGTTGTGGGAGGGGACATGGTAGTTGAAGTGCAGGGGAAATTGGAGGTAAGGATGGGACCTGCAAGCCTCCCTTCCATTCCCCCTGCTCCCATCCTCACCTTCTGCTCTGGCCTTCCCTGCAGCAACTCTGCCCAGTAGGGAGCTGCTGCTGCTTCACCCTGGTGAGCTGGGCTGAGCTAGGGCTGTATTGCTGCTGACTGCCCCAGAAGAGTAAAGCTGCAGCATACAGTGAGCGGGGCAGGCTGTAGGAGGTGGGGGGGACAGGACAGGAAGGGGTGGGAGGCAGGGGCAGGTGCAGGCATATTGGGACAAGAGGCAGGGGTCTTGCCCCTGGACCCCCATCACTGCTTTCCCTGCCACAGCAGTGAGAGGTGGGATGAATAATTAGATTATTTACATGGAAAATTATAACAAGTTTTACAATTTTGGATATATATAATCTACTGGGGTGGGGGGTTGTCTTAAATTCTAAATCATCTTGGATTCAGGTAAATAAGGTAATCTTGGTGTTGAAACTTAATAAACTAAACTTCTTTTATTTAATTTCTTCCCAGAGCATAGATATATTGAATTGTTCCTGAATTCATATCCAAACAAAAATGCCCAGTGACAGTGGCACAACCCCATGGTAGGTAAGTGTACTAAATCCCCTCATCCTTGTGATACCTGCATTTTCCAAAGGTGGACAAGTTGACCCTTAATTTACATGCTTATATAAAACACAATGCCTCTATATGCTGCTTTGCATGTTTAAGACAAATTAGTTTCATGGAGAAGTAAGGCTGGATGGGACCTCAAGAAATCATGTAGTCCAGGGGTCAGCAACCCGCCCGGCACGCGTGCCAAGCATGGCGCACAAGGCCATTTTGCTTGGCACACCACCACCAGCCTGGGCTCTAAGCAGTTGCTGCCAGCCACAGAGCCCAGGCTGCTCCCCACTGGGCTTAGTGGGCTGGCTGCAGCTGGGAGGCTGCAAACAGCTGCTCCGGGCTATGGCATGTCGGCACTCCGGCACCTTCCAAGGTAGACATTGTGGGGGGTTTTCGGCACTCTGGCCAAAAAATGTTGCCTACCTCTGATCTAGTCCAACCAGGGATCAAACCTGTGACCTTGGCATTATTAGCATCACACTCTTAAAGCTTATGTCAGAATGCTCAAAGAAGAATGCCTAAAGTTGGTTACCTGAATTTATAAACAACAACATTTAGTTCATCTAATAAAAGATATCACATCTACCCAAAGAACCTTGATTGCCTATGTCCCTAGGCCAACACAGCTACAACCAACAATCCTAAACAAGAAGTTGAAGCATATCATTAGATATCAACATTTCAGGCATCCGTGTTCAAACACTTAGTTCCAAGGACCCAGTCCAGCTTTCATTATAGATTCATAGACATTAGGGCTGGAAGGGACCTTGCAAGATCATCGAGTCCAGCCCGGGGCATGAAGGTCAGTAGGGATCATAGGATCCCAGCAAGATAAACATCCAGTGCCTCTTGAAGGCGCTCGGAGTAGGTGCTTGAACCACCTCCGGCGGCAGTCTATTCAAAACCTTGGGGGCTCGGACAGTAAAGAAGTTCTCCCTTATGTCCAGCCTGAAATGGTCCTGGAGGAGTTTGTGACCATTCAACCTTGTCATCCCTTGGGGTGCTCTAGTGAACAGACATTCCCCCAGATCCTGGTGAGCAACACTGATAAACTTATAAGTGGCCACCAGCTCACCCCTGAGCCTGCGCTTTTCCAGGCTGAAGAGCCCCATAGCTCTTAGCCTCTCTTCATAAGGTCTGTTTTCCTGACCTCTGATCATGCGTGTGGCTCTCCTCTGGCTTCTCTCAAGTTTCTCCACATCCTTTTTGAATTGTGGAGCCCAAAACTGGACACAGTACTCCAGCTGCAGCCTCACCATTAGATTCATTCTTTCCATTAGTGGGAGCTGGATCAGGACCCAAGACAGAAAACACAGCACTGAGGCATGACACTGCAGTGGGGTAGGGAAGGAGGTTGCTGGGTCCACACTGCTAGACAGAGCCATAGGTGTTAACAGTTAAGCAGTTCAGTGAGGGTATTACAAGGTTTTAAGGGATCATTTTTTCCTGCATCCCAGCCAACCAAGTCTTTATCTGCCTTCAGGGAGAGAGAAGGGAAATTCAGCATCCAGACAGTTTCTCCCTCTTGTGAAAGCTTTTGACTTGATTCTTTAACAAAACTGACTTGTTGCTTGTGGGAACAATCCTTGGCGGTCTGATAGAACGGAAATGTGCCTGAGCTGGCCCCCCAGTCAGCACAGGTGAAATTCATAACACCTGCTTGTTTCAGATAGCTATCTGTCTGATTGTTATTAGTAATGAAGTAGGAAATTTTACCTTCATGACCAATGGAGACTGGATGTACTATTGCCCCTTCAAATACATTGGTTCATTTTGATCCAGCTGCCTCTAAATTGAGTGCAGTGCTGGTAACAGCTTGGATCAAAATGCATCTAAGTAAACATCTTGTCAGGCTTTTCATAATTCAGCAGTAGGTTCTGAATCCTTTCCACTGTGCCTGGGCAGTGAGCCAGCCTGATTGGAGTCCATGGGACAAACCAACATAAATGGTGTTCTAGGACTCGGATGGAAGAAAACAGATGACTCCTGAGGAGCTTGTGGGTGATGCCATTTGGCTCTTATGACCAGAAAAAGGGGACTGGGGTATCTTAAAAAGGTTATTCTGGAGTTCTTGCTGATAGAGGTAGTTGCCCCTACCGAACGCAGGAGACTCCTCTCCTGTTCTAGAGTTCCGGCAGGAAACTTTGGATTCTTCTCTCTAATGTTTTCTGCAAAATCCAAACTTATTTAATAGCTTTTAGAGTAAGTAGAACCTTTGGAACACATTTGCTGCATTGAATGTGCATCTTTCCCTTTTACATTAGTAACCATAGGAGGGAACATGGTAGGGAGACTTGTGGAATTTCAGTGCTTTAATCTTACTAGAGATAGCAAACACTTATGCCAGACAATTTTAAGGATTGCCTTTACTGTTGTTTGTGTCAGGCAGTAGTTCTGTATCTCACTAAGCATTTCCCATAAGATCTTAGAGGAATGTTTAATTACTGTTTATGAACAGTTCAGTGGGAGTTGCATTGTATGCAGTCTTGTTGAAATCTGTTTATTGTGAAGAAGGTGGTTGGATTTAGCTTATACATGTGCCTTCCTCTTGTCAGCATATATGTTCACATCCTTTTGAAGAGCCAAATGTTTCAGTAGCATTTTGGCTTAGACAAAGTTTGGATTTCTCCTCACAATCTGCAAATTATTGTTTAATGGGGGGAGGATCTTATTGAAGGCAGTTGTACTTGGATACTCTGAGACTACACAAGAAGGGTGATGGGGATTTAAAAAGCCAGCATGTTACTCTTAACCTTCAATACTTGTTTCCTCTTTCTTCTTAGGCTAAAGCAAGCAGCATTTCATTCGCACATACCTGGAGGTGGAATTACAGGCGTTTTTGTCTGGTAGCAAAGATAAAATATAACAGACACTTTCTGAATTGCCTTTAAAAGCAGCTTGTATCAAATTCTTTCATTTGGGTTTCTGTAAGAAGCACATAATAAATTGTATTCACATCCTGTACATGATTTGGCTGATTTTAAAAAGAGGAAAAGGTCCACTGCTGGCCTTATAGTAGTTAATACTGTACAGTCAGGGGAAGGTCTGGTTCTGTTTTTGCCAAAACTGAAATGGTAACTCCTGTGCATTAGAATTCAGCAGCTTAATTCTGATGTGAGTTGCCTGTTGGATCAGAAAACAGTTCTTGCTGAGAATCTTGTAATATGTAAACACCATCTGAACAGTTAAATGTACCTATAAAAGGGCCAGTCTTTTGCAGCTAGAGCATAACTTTTTGTAAGTTTGATTACAGAAGTTAGAAGAACAAATACAAGAGTCCAAAATGGTATCTCTAATAGAGATACCATTCCAACAGTGCTTCCCTCATTGTGCAGCAAACAGCCCTTGGCCTTTGTGCTTTAGGATACCGTTGGACACTGTGAAATTGCCTGGGCCCATTCAGTTTATAGAAATTAAATAGCAAACTACAACCTGAGGTAGAAGGTGAGTGATTTTTTTAAATATTTCTCTGAAGTGCACGAAGACAGCTACACAACTGTTTCATTAAAACTGTTGTCTTGCATTTAGTGGATCATTTTTAAATTACTGTTGTGTAACAACATTGCCATCTTTTTCAGGTGCTTTACTGCAAGACAACCAGGGTGAATGCATCACTTTATATAGTAGGTGATAAGGTCTTGCATTTGCTCCTTAAGAACAAGCTGTTCTGATGATAAGGAAACCAATTTTGTTTCCACTTGTATTGTGGATAGGCACTTGTACTTTCCTATAGTAAGGACTTTCTGCCCATTCAGTAAGCTCTGTCTCACTAAAAATTAAAATGTCCCAGGAAACTATTGGACAACTTATAGTAAGTAATGTGTTGCAAAGGGGTTAAAACATCATCAAAACATCTAATTAATGTAACTGCGAGTAATAAAGGAAAGCTTTTCCAAATGGAAAGAATGCTTCACGCTATTCACTACAGTGTGTGCTGTTATTCTACGGTTTTTAAGAGGCAAGTTCTTGTAAAGTTTCAGTGTTGTTGCCATAATGGTTCAGGAAATATGTGAAAGGCAAGGATTTTTATGGGCGATATCCTTTATTGGACAAACTGCATGGTTCGGAAAGACAAGTTTTTGAATACAGTGTTTTCTTCTGTCTAAGTCCATCCAAACTATGCAATTGGTCAAATAAAATATGTCACCCACACACACCCTTGCCCCTCTAGTCTTTAAATGTGTTTTGAGCAAAGAAGTGGACTGGAACTTAATTTGGTTTGAAAGGGAACACTCTAGCACATTACAGTTGTCCTTGCAAATCAAGTATTTAGGATACTTAAAGAAAACAAAGGCTGCTATTTGAAAATAAAAATCAAGTAGAGGACTCTGAGAAACGTTTCCAAAGTTCAGTAATGACAGTTTGCAGTTTGATGAAACCACTCAAAATGGTTTTTCAAGTACGCTGTTATAGAAGTTTTATTTCAAGATTAGGGTGACTATTTAAATGAGGTACAATTATCTAGGAACAGTGCCCTATTTTACTAGGCAATGTGCACACTTATTCCCTGTTCTAAAGAACTGTTGAATCTTTCCGTGGTGGAGGTTGGATATCATCACTTTCTTGACTTCTGCAATGTGTCAACACTCTGGGTGGTAAAAAGCTGTTCTTCAAACACTAGAAAGCAACCCTTCCCCAATAGCTTGGGGAAGAGTGTCATCTCCCATTGAAATGTCCTGAGTGAGTCTGGTAACTGCCTCTCTCAAAGAAGAGTAGGGGCATTGGCACAGGTTACCTTAACATACTAGCCCTTAAAATGAGAGCAGTCATTAGTTAAGGCAGGGGTGGGCAATTATTTGGGCCCAAGGGCCATATAGGGAGTTTTGATGAGCTGTCATGGGTCAGACAGGCTAGGTCAGCCTCCCTCCGTCTTCCCCCTACAACAGCACCAAAACTCCCTATATGGCTTTGGGTAGGTGAGGACCAGTGTTCAAGAGTGGGACAGGTGATCCCCATATGGAGCACCACAGAGGCAGCCAGGG